GAAATTGGTTTGGCTAAGGGACCGCTTACCCATCGATGGGAAGATCTTCCCATCGCTGGGTGGATGGTTAGTCAAGAACCCATGGTTTTTGGCTTAACCACGGCCTACCAACCGGTGCAAAAACCGACCAAAAAATTCAAAGTTCTCCAAAATAAAAACCAAGTGTTTAGAGCACTTATTTGATGTATTTGGCTAAGAAATCAAGTAAGACACTTTAAAAACCACGTCATTTGAGTGAAAACCACGGCTAGCCAAGTTTATGCCGTTTTGAGAGATTTTTGTCAAACGACCAAAAGCGAAAGATGGTTTTCAAGGTGTTTTTGTTGGAGAACCGTTTAAACATGCCAAAGAGTGAAAACCAATCATAAAAGGTTGAAAACCACTTGGTTGGTTCGGACGCCAAAAACCAATGCCGATAACCGAGAGCTGAACGCCGGTTTCTGAAACCCGAACGCCGGATGGCTTGGTTTTTGGTTTGGGCGAACACCAAGTGTTTTTAATGACTTAAACAAGTTTGAAAAACATTTTTATGATTTAGGAAATGCAATGAAAGGTTTTAGCCTAAAGAGCCAATGCGTGAGGGTTGGGTCGGTCTTGATTACAATTATGACCGACTCAACAAAGCTAAGGACTTCGGTCTTCGTTCTTGGTCTCTTTTAGCTCTCGTTCTTTATCTTCGTTCTTCGCCTTGTATACTCAATGTTTGTCTTGATCACGGCGGTTTGGCATTATCAAAACCTGTTACAAAAACGAACGCGGCTTTAGTACGAAAACGTGACAAGCCCGTGTTTCAACATTTTTCAGTTCCTTCTAGTTTTTCCAACTATTCCTGTTTTCTTCTTTATCTTTTCAACTTCCCAAATAATAACTCTAAAATGATATGTTTTTCATGTATTATTATTATTAATATTATTATGTTCATAACTATAATTTATAAATTATTTTAGTTTTTCTATTTTTATTTTTCCTATGTCACTATTTTTGCGATTCATACTCAATATTATTTTTTCTTCTATTTTTAATATAAATAATACGAAGTACAATTTTATTGGGGAATTTTTTATTAATTTACATGACACTAAAATATGTTCAAAAAATTATGGATATTTTATTAATCTAAATTGACCTGGAAAAAAATCAGTGTTTTAAATTTAAAAATAATAATTATATTCTCTATTCCTAATTAAATTGCATGTATACTATTCACTTGGTCAAATTTTATTCACTTTCTTTATTTATTATGAATATAATAATAATAATAATGTTAAGAATAATGTTAATAATAATAATAATAACAATAACGGTTATAATAAGAATAATATGTAAAATACACTTAATTAAATTATTGACGTTCCTTCCCGTTTTTCAGTTTTTCCAATTTCTTCTAGTTTTTTCCAGTTTTTCCAATATCCAACTCTTTTTTTCCAGTCCTAAAGAACATGCTCTTAAGGTATTTAACTACTTCACATAGAAATCGCCTTAAATAGGAGTAAAACATAGAGAAAATACCAAAGTAAGAGTTCCATGTTTTTATCTCCAAAATAAGAGTTTGCACTACTCTAAATGAACATTTCACAATACTTTTTGGTATTATATATTGGCATGATTGACATTGTGTATGCATTTTAACTCCTATTTGGTATATTTTGGTATATTTTCATTGTTTTACTCATACTTTAGTCTTTTTCCCTTTCTCATATCCAACATTTATTCATTAAGCTCTAAATTATACGGAGTACTTTTTAATCAAATATTTCAAAATGATTGTAAAAATTGAATATTTTTTAACATAATCCCTCTCTCCAGTTAAACTTGGACAATGTAAAGTTTAAAGAATGTGTTAAAAAGTAAAAGTGGATAATTGAAATTCGAATAAATAAATTAATAAATAAACTTTGGAGTACATATTCTTTATCTTTTTAAAAATATAAGTGAATAAATATTTTAGGACATTCGAAAAAGAAAAATATCAAAATCAGCAAGACAAAGAGAATATTTTGTAAAGATTTTTTTAATGGTTAATGTATAAAAAGATTGTGAGCCTTGAACCCGAAGTAAGTTGATGTATTACACTCCGTGTTTGTCAAACTTTCACTGATTGGAATTCACCTTTCCATTTTTTCACTGATTGGTAATTCCTCTGAATTTTCGCACTTGTTTTTCTACTCTATATTCCATTAGGAGTGAATTCTTTTTGTCTAGTCTAGAAGTCTAGAACTAGGAGTATTGTCTGTACTTTTTATGAACCAAAATGCTTGGTACACTAAGTTAGACTTTCCCCTTCCACAATTTCCTTTCCCGTTTTGACTTTACACGTTCATCAAGAAAAGTTTAAAAATTTAAAGATTTTTCATAGTTGTCATTCATGTGATTGAATAAAGTGAATAGTGTAGATAAAAAGTGGAGATATAATGGCACATTCGTTAAAAAGTTTTTGCTAAAATAGGAAACGGAGAAGAAATTTATGGACGGCTCAAAAAGAAAAATGGATTGGAGTTGTACACCACTCCCATGCTAACGAGTCTTTTACTCTTTTATAAAATGTCTCTTCAGACACTTGCAGAAGCTCTCACTGAATATTCTGATGAGTTTTCTTCTGAAGCAGATGCTTTTTGTACATGGAGATGTGATTGTTTTCCTGATGATCTTTGTTCCATGGGCGAGCTCCTTCCACAGCAATGATGCAGCCACTCTGTTCCGAGTCAAGACCCGGCAACTCGGCGACCCGAACGGCCAACTCAGCGACTGGGTCGATTCCATCAACGCGCCATGTAACTGGACTGGCATTACATGTGATCCTCTCTCTCACGCCGTCGTCTCCATTGATTTCCCCACTTTTGGGCTCTCCGGCGGATTTCCGGCGGAACTTTGCCGGATTCCCACCCTTCGAAGTCTCAATCTCACCAACAACAACTTCGGCGAGGCTATATCTCCGGACGCCATCTCTTTGTGCTCTCATCTTGAGAAACTGGACCTCTCCCTCAATTTATTCGTCGGGGAGCTTCCGGAGCTTTTCGCCGGATTCAACAGCCTCACCACTCTGGTTCTCGCTTCCAACAACTTCTCCGGCGAAATTCCGGCGAGCTTCGGCCGCTTGCGGAAGCTTCAGATTCTCGATCTCGTCAATAACCTCTTCAACGGTTCGCTCCCCGAGTTCATCGCGAATCTCACCGAGTTGACGTATCTAGGAATCGCCATGAATCCTTTCGGCTCCACCCCATTGCTTCCCTCAATCGGACGGCTGAAGAAGCTCCGGAACCTCTTCGCGCGCGGGGCGAATCTCACCGGAACCATCCCAAATTCCATCGGAAACCTAATCTCTCTCCAGAACCTCGACCTCTCCGAAAACAGCCTCGCCGGGGAAATTCCTGATACGATCGGAGATCTGAAAAGCGTCGTACAGATAGAGCTTTACGGCAACCAGCTCTCCGGCGAATTGCCGGACACATTCTGGAATCTCAGCTCTCTACTTCGCATTGATCTTTCACTGAACAACCTGACTGGTAGAATTCCCGAGAGTCTCGCAAGTTTACATGTGGAGTCGCTGTATCTCAGCGAAAATAATTTACAAGGACAAATTCCTGGAAGCATATCTCTCAATCCGAATCTCCTCTATTTGAGGCTTTTCAGGAACAGAATCTCCGGTACTTTGCCGGCGAACTTAGGTCTAAACTCAGAGTTAAGGGAACTGGATGTTTCTGGAAACAATATAGAAGGTCCATTACCTCCAAATCTTTGTTTTAAAAGGAAGCTTCAGGTTTTGATTCTCTTCAATAACAGATTCTCCGGCGCCATTCCAGGATCTTATACTAGTTGTAGCTCTCTGACGTACGTGCGCATCAAAGACAACGGACTCTCAGGAACAGTACCTGCAGGTTTCTGGAACTTGCCTGGCTATGAACTCATTGAATTCCAGAACAACAAGCTTGAAGGCCCCATTCCTCCCTCAATCTCCAGTGCTCGGAGCTTAACCAAAATTCTGGTCTCGGGAAACAAGTTTTCCGGTGGGGTGCCGCCGGAAATATGCAAATTGCAGAAGCTGGTTGTTCTGGATTTGAGCAAGAATCGGATTTCCGGTTCCTTGCCTTCGTGTGTAATGAATCTGAAGAATCTTCAGCAGCTTGAACTTCAAGAAAACTTGATCGAAGGTGAAATACCAAAGTCAGTGAGTTCGTGGAATGAAATGACCGACCTGAATTTATCTTTCAATCGTTTATCAGGCGAAATTCCAAGTTCGTTAGGGACATTACATGCATTAAACTATTTAGACCTCGCCGGAAATATGCTCACCGGAGGAATTCCGGCGTCGTTGACCAATCTGAAACTCAACAAGTTCAATTTATCTTATAACAGGCTTGAAGGGGAAGTGCCTGCCGGGTTCGGAAACAGCTTATTCCATTCAAGCATAATGGGTAACCCGGGCTTGTGCTCGTCCGATCTTGAAGGCCTCCCTTCATGCCAGAAACCCAAACCCATATCCGGTTACCAGTTGGGCATTATAGCATCCTGCATATTTGTCCTAGTGCTATTACTCCTCTGGAGTTTGATGAGGACAAAAAAGTCCCTGGGGAGAAGTAAAAAGACCATATTTTCATGGAGCAATACCGCATTCGCACATGATGGGTTTCAGGAATCAGAAGTGTTGGCTTCTCTGACCAATAAGAACATCGTTGCAATGGGTGGGTCGGGTCAGGTCTTCAAGGTCCATCTGAAAACCGGGCAGATTGTTGCAGTTAAGAAGCTCTGGGAGGCTAAATGGGAGGGAGAATCCATAAGTGTGTTCAAAACAGAGGTGGAGATTCTAGGGAGAGTCCGTCACAGGAATATAGTGAAGCTTCTGCACTGTAGCATTGGTGAAGATTACCAAATATTGATGTATGAATACATGGAGAATGGGAGCTTAGGAGACGTATTACACGGAGACCACGGCGGTTTACTGTTGGATTGGCCAAGGAGGTTCGACATCGCGGTGGGGGCTGCTAAGGGACTGGCCTACTTGCACCACGACTGCACCCCGGCTATTATACACCGCGACATCAAATCTAACAACATTTTGTTGGACTCAGAGTTCATGCCCAAGGTTGCAGATTTTGGGTTGGCCAAGATGCTCCGCCGAGATATCCCAACTGCTGAAGAACCCATGTCCAATGTCGTTGGCTCCTATGGCTACATTGCACCAGGTAAGCATTTTTCACTGTTCCCACTAAGGTTGCGTTCCGTTCCACTTGTTTATCAGCTTATTGCTTATTCTTATTAAAATCAGATCAGACCAGACCTCATCAAAAATAGCTTTAAATATAACTACAATCAAATCAAATCAGATGTTCAAAGAATCAGAACAGATCAGGCGAACGGAACGAAACCTAAAGCTGGAACAAATCGGAATTCATTCAATTGAAAATAAGTTGAAAACAATATGGGTTTTGTTTCGAATTGTAGAATATGCCTACACGCTGAGGGTCACAGAGAAGAGCGATGTTTACAGCTACGGCATTGTATTGTTGGAACTGTTATGTGGTAAAAGGCCAAATGACGACTCCTTTGGCGAGAATAAGGACATTGTACAGTGGGTTTCGGGCGTTGCGGCCTCGTCCGTGCAACAATTGGGCGATCTGAATCAGATTATAGACCCGAGGATGAATCAATCTGCGGGTGATCACTATGAAGAGATGAACAGGGTTTTATATGTGGGGCTTCTTTGTACATCAGCCTTGCCCGTAAACAGGCCCTCCATGAGAAGGGTCGTCGAGTTGCTCCAAGATATTTGATACTATCAGATAGGCTGTCGTTAAGGGCAATTTGTTTTGTTACCTTGCTGGAAATATTCTTTCAGGATTCTTGGCGTAGGGTACATATGTACCAAATGTGTGTAAACATAATTGGGATTGTTTACAAATGGTCGTTTTTTTGGCTTCTTGTTGGGAGTTTGTTCAAATTTTAAGGGCTCCGCGTCCTATCAGAGGAGAGCAATGCTACGTTCACAAATAGAATGATCACAAATTCCATAAACTTACTATTTATGGTTTAAATTCTCATTTTAAAATTATTTTAGACTATTTAATTTTCTTTATTGAAGTTCACAAATGGTAAGTTTGTGAACTTTGTGAAGTTTGAGTTTGTGAACCTTGCATTTCCATTCAGAGGAATATACTGTATGATCTTTATGGTTTTTACGAAAATATCTTTCCATGCATGACAATAACAAATTATGGTAAACTACATAAAAGATATTCGTAAACCATATTATCTAAAACAACCCATATTTTAGAAAATGAAAATATATTCAAACGAAATTAACATTCAAAAAATAAAAAAATGTTTTCATGCATAAGGGGAAGATTTCAATCAAAACGTGTTGTAGCATCTTCTGTGTCAACCTCGAAATCTGCAGCAACTCTAGAAGTCTAAATAAAATAAACTTCTCCTAACAAATAGAAGTTTCTACCTAGTAAAATACCTAACAAATATAGGATTTTATTTTGCCAAAAGATTAGCCAACACCATGGAACTAACATAAACAACAAGATATGAGTTATGCAACTCATCGAGACTTTGTGAGGAATAGTTGTTCATTTGTATTATTTATATGAATCTCGGAGTAGATTACAATGCTATGTTTATTACTCCCTTTGTCTGGTTGATTTCCTAATACAGAAGATTTCATAGAGCTTTAGGTGAGTGTAAGAAAATTGGTTACTTTCTATATTTGCCTCAATTATTAAAGTATGGTATGTGCATGAAATATTAGAGATGATGCAAAAAGCAAACAAAAGATAAAAGGGGTTTTTTAACCTTAATAATGTCAAATTTAGGAGTGTACAAAATTCAATGGGACAACAAAAAATGAAAGGAGGATATTTAAACTAGGCAACAATAAAAACCAACATAATCCCACCAAAGTAGGGTCTGAGGATGGGGAGTTTACATTTTTTATTTTTGAGTTGTAATTCTATCGTTGTAAACTTTGATATAGAGTCTACAAAAAATATTAAATGATAAATATTAGTAATAATAACTAATAATAAGTTATTATTATTAATATAATTATTATTAAATTATTATTATTAGTATAATTATTAATAAATTATTATTATTATTATTAATATACTAATAATCATAATTTGAATTTGAAGTAGATCCTTTCAGATCAGGTCAAATCCATTCAAATCAGATTGGCCTTAAAAAATTTAATTCAGATCAGATTAGCCATAGAGAACAAAGCCTAACCAAGGTATCCTGACTTTTATTTATACTCCGTATAAGTTATGCCAATTTGTGCTTGTACATGTATTTGTAATTTTTTTAAAACTATTTTATTTAAAGCTTGCTCTTTAATGTTTATATTCTTAACTTCTATGTCTTCTAGTTTCTTTCATTTTTCCAAGTTGCTTCTAGTTTCTTGCATTTCTTTGAAATTTCTTTTAATTTTTTTCAGTTTCTTCAAGTTTGTCCAACTATTCCCATTTTCTCGAATTTTTTTCTACTCCCCAACTAATGGCTTTAAAATGATATGTTTTTCATCTATTATTATTATTATTATTATTATTATTATTATTATTATTATTATGTTCGTAGCTAGACTTTATTTTTTAATTTTTCAATTTTTAATTTTTCTCATGTCACTATTTTTGCGATTGACACTAATTACTGAGTACTATTTTGTCTTCCATTTTTAACATAAGTAATACAAAGTACAATTTTATTAGAAAAATTATTTTTACTAATTTACATGGCATTGAGTTATGTTCTACAAATTAGAGATATTTCTTCCAGTTTCTTACACTTTTTCCAGTTTTTTCTAATTTTTTCAGTTTCTTTCAACATCAAGTTTTTTTTTCCAATCCTAAGAGCAGTAGAAATACACATGACGCCTTCCGCTATTAAGAGGCGTTTAAATGTCATCGTGGCGTCAAACACCGCCCCCTTTGCCATCATCCAGGCGTAATGGCCGTTGCGTTAAACGTTTGACGCAGCAGCGCAGCATCTGGCAACCCCCCCCCAACGGTCCTCCAAAATACAGTCTATTTCTTTCCATTGTCTCTGCAAAATACTAAAAAATGGGATCATTCTCATCTGGGGATGAAAGAAGAGTTCTCATTTTTTGTTACTTCAATTCGCGATAGGCTGTTACCAATGGTGGCAACAATGCCAGCAAGAAGAAGTGGAATCGTCCCAACGCTTGACCCAAGGTGAGCGTTTAAATCGTAATCGGGCGGCTACACACGAATCACTGCTCAGCAACTACTTTAATACTCCGTGTGTTTACTCACGAGATGATTTTAGCAATCATTTTTCGGATGATCCGTTCTTTATTTTTATGCATACTCGCTGATATTGAATGCGAGGTGCCTTGCTCACCCAACGTTTTGATGCAAGAGAGCCGACACAGTTTTAGTAGCGTCCAGATGTGCACCGACTCGCTTTGTTAGATGGAGTACGGGACGACTAGTGATATGTTCGACGAATACTTGAAGATGTCGGCTCAGACCATCAGGTCACGTGTTTATTAATTTTCTAAAGCTATTATTCGACTTTATCATAAAATGCAAGCTGACATCGAGCTACATTGAGCAGTTACAAGGGAGGCATGCTGCTAAACACGGCTTTGTCGGCATGCTTGGGAGCATCGATTGCATGCATTGAGAATGGAAAAATTATCCCACTGCGTGGTATGGTCCGTTCTCCCGGGTGATCATCCAAGCCTACTATTATATTCAGAGTTGTGACTTCAAATGAGTTGTGGTTTTGGCATGCTTTTTTTTGTGTTGTGGGCTCGAACAACGACATCAATATTTTTGATCAATCGCCCGTTTTTTACAATCGGGTTAATGTGACTATAACCGACTTGTCTTTTGAACTTAGAGGAACGCTTTACAAGCATGGATTTTATCTTGCCGATGGAATATATCCAGATTATTCTACAATTGTCAAGTATCTCTCCGAACCAATGGGTCTTAAATGCAAGACCTACAAAAAAACTCATGAGGCGGCGGGGAAAGATATTGAACGAGCCTTCGTGTTCGGGATGTTGAAGGGAAAGTGGCACATTCTAGATCGTCTATCCAAGTGTCGTTCCCAAATGAAAAAGAGGAATATCACATACACTCATAATATGATCATAGAGGACAATGGATTTGCAATTTGTCATTACAATCCGGACGAGGAGGTCCTACGTATGAAGAAATCGATGAATAAAAAAAATGAAGAAACCGCCATGAAGCCGAGAGATTCACAATACACTAACAGTATATTTAATTGAATGTACTTTTAGTCGCTCAAATAATCAGTAATTTCTTCGTAATGTAATGCCATTTTGAATTTGGTTTATGTTATTATTCAAATCTTATTTTATTAAAGTATTTTTCTATTGAATCTCATGTTTTTATTTAATGAATTATTGTTGTTTAAATTCAATTAATTAATGAAATTTTATTAATTTAATTTTACAAAATGTGTATTCAAAATTTAAAAAAATGAATGTTTGAAGCATAGTTTTGAAAACCGAACCGGACCGGTCGGTTCGGACCGGGAACCGGTGAACCGTGCATCAAACCGGTCCGGTCAATCAGACCGGCTCCAGCAATGAACCGGTGGAAACCGGTTAAAACCAGAGAAAAACCGGCCGGTTTCACAACCGGAACCGGTTTTTTATTTTTTTTTTGTGAACTTTAAAAAGCACATGCCCAGGTTTGAACACAAAACCTCACGGTGGAACAGACGATGCATCTAACCATCTCTATCACAATATCTTGTGTTGACTCCTTGCTATTTGTCTTAAATATCCTTTAATTACAAAATTCTTTATCAAATACTTTTAAAAAGTATAGAGTTTTGTTAACTAAAATTCAAAACTCATTCATATAATTGAGACACAAATATTTTATTTATACACATATTTTAAATACTAAGTAAAATGTTTTTAAAAATCAAATCACTTTTTATTTATAAATTTTTTTAAATATGTGATTTTTTATGTGATGATATGACTCAAGTAAATTAAGTTATCACAACAGTACACCAAATTCAAACACAAATCAATTTTTTTTTCTATCACAAACGGCATATATCACGTACTCAATTTATTTGAGTTTGACCTACACAAAACACATCAACAAAGAGGTTTTTCTTAACTGATCGTTTGAAGATCTTTTGGGACTATAGCCCTCCACAAAGAAGATCAAGCAAACCCAGCTTCAACTGCTTATCTCTTCTCTTCCTAGGACTCCTCCTTTCGCATCTAGATCGACATCAAGCCATCACACAAAGAAATCTTGGGTTTTTCAAAGGTAAAAAACTCCTCGGGAGTCCTGTTCGTAGCTTCTGCGTGTTCAATCTGATAAAATTGCATCAGACTATCAGTTTGCTGTAGCTACAGTAACGACGCATATATGAGTATTAAAACACATTTTGTGTTTAGAAATAGAGTGCTATTGGAGAAAGCTCTTCTGCAAAACTTTGGATTTTGGGAGCCTGTTGGAGATGCTCTCAATAGGACACATTTTCCAAAACTCGAACTCGGTCTGAATGTATGCACTTCAAATATTTAGGGAGTACAATATTATATTATACAGAGTATATAAATGTAAATATATAATCACATCATGAGGTCTAATAAGTTATTCTTGCTCAATTTTACGCTTAACTTTTAATATACCGGACTCACTGAGCCTTCTCAAATCTCAATCAATAGATCATTTCCATAAAAGCCTTTGAAGGGACACAAGTTATACAAAGTGGATGATCATTTTATTTTCTCGTATGGGCAACAAAATGCCGCATAGCTTCCCTAGTCATGGGCAAAATGTATACACCCAAACAACTACAACAATATAATCCAGCACATCAGCAATATAAATAACACAGTCATACAATACCAACATTTATAACTCATTAAAAAAAATCACTGGGATTCACTTTAGCTCAAACCATGATTAAAGTCTCTATGCTCAAACTCACCTGGCATGTTGATTGAGAGCAGAAAGGCAAAAAGGACTAGTGTTGAGCCCATTGGATGCTCTTAATGTCAATACCCTCCTTAACCATTTCATAAAGAGGACTCAATTCCCTCAACTTCTCAACTTGGTGCACCGTAAGCTCTACGGCTCTATCAATCTCTTCCTCGGTAGTGAACCTCCCAATCCCGTATCTAATCGAGGTGTGGGCCATGTCTTCTTCCACACCCAATGCCCTTAGAACATAAGAGGGCTCCAAGCTGGCACTCGTACAAGCACTACCACTTGACACCGCAACCTCCTTCAACCCCATCAACAAACTCTCCCCTTCCACATAAGCAAATGAGAGATTCAAGTTCCCAGAATAGCGCCTTTCCTCACTTCCGTTCACCACAACTCCTTCAAGCTTGGACTTTATCCCATTCAACAACCTCTCATTCAAACCCTTGATCCACTTGTCATCATACTCCATTTCCTTCATGGCCACCTCACAGGCAGCTCCAAACCCCACCACCAATGGGGTCGGCACTGTCCCACTCCTTATCCCTCTCTCTTGTCCCCCTCCATTCATCTGGGCCTCGACCCGAATCCTCGGTCTACGCCTCATGTATAGAGCCCCAACTCCTTTGGGCCCATAGATTTTGTGCCCACTAAGCGACATCAAACTCACATTCATCTTATCCACGTCGATTGGAATCTTCCCTAGAGCTTGTGCTGCATCAGTGTGGAAAGGAACATTGAATTCTTTGCAGATTTTTCCTATTTCCTCCATTGGCTGGATCACCCCAATCTCATTGTTCACCATCATCACAGAAATGAGACCTGTATCCGGCCGGATTGCGGCCCTGAGCTTCTCTAGGTCAATAAGCCCGTCAGAGTTTACCGGGAGGTAGGTGACATCGAAGCCTTCTTGCTGCAGGTAACGGCAGGAATCAAGAACACACTTGTGCTCAGTCTGTGTGGTGATGACGTGTCGCTTCTTCTCCCTGTAGAAATGCATGACTCCTTTGACGGAGATGTTGTTGGACTCTGTGGCACCGGAAGTGAAGATGATCTCTTTAGGGGAAGCGTTAATTAGGGCCGCAACATGGGCGCGGGCCTTCTCGACGGCATCGTCCGATTCCCAGCCGTAGAGATGAGTCCGAGAGTGGGGGTTTCCGTAGCGCGAGATGTAATAAGGGAGCATGGCGTCAAGCACGCGTGGGTCCACCGGAGACGTGGCCTGCATATCCAGGTACAGAGGTCTTCCGGCGATCTTCACTCCTTTCACGGTGATCCCGCCGGCAACTTCCTCGTGCGGTTCTACCTTCGCAGCCGCCGCGGAGGTAGAAAGAGGGCGGAGAATGGAGGTGGGCCTAACATATCTGCCTCGGAAAACGGCGTCTAGAAGCTTCGAGGCCATCGTTGAGCACGTAAGGATCAGATGATTTTGCTCCGCCGACGAATTGAACCTTTACCGTCGGCGACTTGAATGGATTGAATCAGGGGAAACCCTAGGGTGAATCTGGGTCGCCGACTCCCCCAACGGCGGTGTTGGGCTGGGACGTTAGGAGTTTACAGTGGGAAAAGAACGAGAAACGTGGCGAAATCACATCCTTACGCTGCCTCTCAGCGATCAGCATTTTAGGTATACGGTATTTTTATTAGAATACGGTATACTACATTCATTTTAATTCCATAACTTTTTATTTTTTCTATGTCATCATATATTTTTCTTCAAATCGTATTTAGTAATATTTTTTTAACTCACGTTTTATTAATATTTTTTTTTAAGTTATGCTTTCGTAATCTTAATGTTAACATGTAAAATATGAAATTTTTAACAATTTTGATTGTCTTAACAAGTTAATCTTTTCATTTTTACAAAATGTTCAATTCTTTCTTTAAAACCGCATAAAACTTTGTCTGCCTTTTTCTTACACGTTTCTCACATCAATATCAATAATAAAATTTTTCATTTCATAATTTGCATTCCATCAACCGATGTTATAAAAATAGTAGGATAAATGGAGTATATTTTTTATTAATCTTAATTAAATGACATAAATAATTATTTCTTTCTTTTTAAATTTTTTAAAAACTTTTACTTTTTCCTTTTTCATTCATCCAAAAAACATTCACTATTCACCACTTTTCCTAATTTTGTAAACATCAAACACATAAGATTTTTATGAGAGGAAAGTTGTATTTTTGTACATTCCATGTATACATATTTAATTTTAAAATTAATCAATAAGTACAATTAGATTTACTGTATACTTTGCTTAATTGTTTGGAGGGGAGAAACATATCATAAATTTATTTTGTGAAACTCAATAATTTTGAAGGAAAGTAACTAAATTAAATATTGTATGAAGGTAAATTAGAAAAATTAGATCAGAGTGAACATAATTTTTTAATTGTAACAGATCTTTATAATTTAAACGAATCTTCCTCAACAAAAAGGTATTGTATGTAAATTAATTTTTAATCAAGTACTCCCTCCGTCCCAGAAAGAATGTCACGTTTACTATTCTGACCTCTCGATAACTTTTGTTTGTTTACTCATTTTGGTTGACCATTTGATAAAATAAAATATTCTTGTCGTATCTTGTTTTGTAGAGCTTTTCATATACTTTTAAATGGTGTAATTTTTACTTTTTATTACTCTACCAATTTGAAATTTAAGTGATTTTAAAAGAGATGATATTTTGCACGTCGTTCGAAGTGTTGCAAATAAATTGGGACGGAGAGAGTATAATTGTATATAGGTCATTTTGTTAAAATAAATAAATTTAGTTGTAAAAATTTTGAGCTTGTTCTTTTGGGTTAAAAAAATTAACTTCTAACATTTCGCAATTCTTTTCTATTTTTCCAAGTTTTTCAATTTCTTTAAGTTTCTTCTAGTTTAATACTCCGTATCTTACAATTCTTTCTAGTTTTTTCTAATTCTTTTCAATGAAATGGTAAGAATGCAATGTCGTGGGTGGGGTAGTAAAGTTTTTTTCTAAAGCTTTTCCAAGAAGACTTATCTCAATTAGTCGAAAGAATGTGCAATGGAGGTAATACCGGGTTTAGCTCTTGACAAGCGAAATGACGATAAAGAATGATCATTCTCTACGTCGCATTCTTTCGTGTAGATACCAAGAAACGACCCTGCTTCTTATCAATCAATTTGAGATTATAGTTTCCCCTTCTAATCTATTATTCAAACTGATACGATAGAATTTAATTAGAATGAGCATTGATATGGTACGGTATGAGACAATATTCAGTTCGTGCTGATATTGTACTAAATATTTCGACTTGATATGATATTTTATGTTACACCGACCCTGCTCGTGAAATATTGGTTTAGAATGGTTCGAGATGGTCCAGTCTTTGTAAAAAATGGGATGAATACCTTTGTATACAATTTATACTCAAAACGAACCCACTTCTTATTGGGCAAATTTCAAGAATGATATCTAAACTTTCACGAAAATTTAGATTTGGTACCTAAGTTTCAAAGCATTTCACCAAAGTATCTGAACGTTTAACATTCTTTCACTAATAGTCCATTCACCCATTACCAGGCAGGACACTTAGTGCCAAAATTGCAAAATCTGAATTTTTATTTTTTCACATTGACCCTCATTCTTTATTTTCTTTTCCTTAGACTCCCATAATTTATACTCCGTATTCTTTTTTTTTCCAACCCACTCCCCGTTCTTTCTTTTCTTTCTTTTTCCCCTCTTTTCTTTTATTTTTTGTTTTTTTCCTTACTTTTGTTTTTTCTTATTCGCTATTTTCCCCTCTTTTTTGCTTCTTTTTTCTTTTGACCCTTTTTAAACTCTTTATTTATTTTTTATTCATTCTCACTTTTTATCATATCTTTCCTTTTTCTTTTAATTTTCTTCATTTTGTCCACTTTTTTTATTTTTTCCTTTTTATAAATTTTTTCACTGTTTAAATTTTCTCTATCATCAAAAATAATAAATATCTAACAATATTGGGCGCTAAAAATTCGAGAGTCTTGTGCGGGTGACCACCTCGCACACCCTCCGGGTCGTCCATGTATTTGATAGAATAAAATATTTTTGTCACATCTTGGTTTATAGAACTTTTGACATAGTTTTTAAATATGTAAGTTTTATTTTTTATTTCTATACCAATTTTTAGATTAAATGAATTGAAAAAACTAAAAAATTTACTTTATTTAGCTAATGTTGCAATTTTTTTGAGACAGAGAGAATAACGAAATACTACGGGCCTTACGGGGTAGTATATCAAATGCTTCTTAATTGTTTTTGTAATTAAGCTATCTGTGCCCCAAAAAGTAAATCTACTTTATATCTCAAAGGCATGCACCAACATTTTGTGTTTGTGTAATATTAGTGCTATAGTTTACAATGATAGAAAATGTCAGGATAAATATTTTGTTTAAACTAACATTTGCCAAAACATCCCACCGAAATACGCGCTCGGGATCGCGTCAGAAGCACAACCTCCCACTGGAAACAGAAAAATGGAAACGTGAACGCCATTATTAGAACTTGAACTTGCACACGCCCCAGTCCCCACCTCTGGCCAAAAACACAAAAAACTCACACAGAGAGAAGAAGAGAGAGTGCGTGTGTATGTGAAGACGACGCGCAAGCAGATCCATTCTAATCATCCATATTCTTCTTCCCACCGACACTTTTCATTTCTCCCTTCTCTCGCCGACCCTCTCTATATTTATAGTTCCTGCCGGTGAAGTTTCTTGATTGACATTCTGGACTTTACCCTCTCTCTCTCTCTCTCTTTACTTTTTTAAGTATAAAAGAGACTCCTTTCTTCATGTGTCTCTCTGCAGGTATGCTTTAGCTTTCTCAAGCACTTTTCTTCTTCTTCTTTTAGTAAAATTTCTCTTTTGCATTGTTACAAAGATTCCCAAAGATTGCTTTTTTGATCTTGTGAAATGATGACATGATGCCTCTTGATCTGTTTGTGGTGCTGATTTTTGAAAAATTCCATCCACTTTTCTCTAAACTGGAATGAAATGAACCAATGGGTACCCCATTTTTGGTTCAAGAAAACAAAATGATATGAAAAACAATTTCTATTTTCTTTGGTTAGAGAAGAAAAGAGAAATGGAAGGGAAAAAAATGAGAGGGTAAAATAAAGTGAGAAGAGGAATAACAACTTTTCTTCCATTTTGGAAAAGAAAATTCTGAATTCCGCGAACCAAACAGAGTGTTAATTTTTAGTTTTTTGTTGTTATTGAATGGTTGGCTGCTTTCTTGTTGGAATCTGTAATGTGATGTTCATCAGATTTCTGGGTCAAACAAGTTGTGTTGTTTTGTTTTCATATGTTAATGAGTTGGATCTTGTGTTCTGATTGAGGTTTTAAAATTCAGACAGTGTGATATGTACTTGAACCCAATGTGATGTTACTAATTTTACCCAAAAAAGAAAAGTTATAACATAGTAGAATGCATGTTATTGTGGCCTACCAAACATGACCCTAGAGCTTTTATTGGATCTTGTGTTGTGCTAGAGTAGAGGTCTTTAAGTCACACATAATGATTTAAATGATATGTAATTGAGGACCATAATGAGAACTTAAGCCTCTCTTAGAAGTTAGAACTATAGACTGTGGGGGGTAAAAGAGAGTAAGTTTAACTACTCCTTAACCAACTTTGGTGTGGAGTAACTCTTAATCCCCTTTATCTAATGTCACTCCCCATTTCTTAACACCCTAAAATGAGGTGAAAGAGAATGCAGGATGTTAAAAAACCTTACATATTTAAAAACTAAGTCAAAAGAGTTCTACAATGCAAAAAGTGACATGACTATTACTACATACTCCCTCCGTTTCTTAAAACGATTTCTGTTTTGACTTGACAGAGATTTATTTTCATAGTTTGACCTTCTAATTGTATCCTTCTCGTCGAAGAATAAAGAGAGACAAATCATTTAAATGACTTATTATATCATTGCAAATTGAATGAAGTATATTGCAACGACTTAATTTAGACATGTTAGTCATTCTTTACAAAAATGGAAATGTTTTAAGGAAAACGAAAAGAATGAAAGAGGAATTGTTTTAAGAAAGAGAGGGAGTATATTTTATCAAATGATTAATAAAACTACATAAGTATACAAAAGTTATCGTAATGCTGAATAGTAACGGTAATTTCTATTTGGGGACAAAATGAGTATTTCATAAACACCCAAAAAACAGATTTTTCACTTTTTTAGTCTTCCTTATTCTTGGTTACTCTTACTCTCTTGAACTTACGATCAATCCAAACGCTGTCTGCTTAGATCTCCGAAAATGCTAAAGAAAGATAATATAGGGATATGAAATATAGACTAATACTCAAACAATTGTATTCTAGATATTTTGCTCATTCTATTTATCGATGTCTTTGTCCAGAGTAATATATAGTGACAAAACGAAGCAGCATTATTCTTCCTTTCACAAGGATTTTCAGTGTTAAGCTGAAATGCGGATGTTTGTTTGCTTGGAATTCGGTTACCTCTGAGTAATCAAATGGTTCTTCAGTCTGTCCAACTGTGTATAATTATGGCCTCTCAATTGTTCCTTTTTTCGTTATACTTTCATGTCTTCATAAGATGATTTAGTATGTTTAGCTCTGGCCTTAGTAATATCAGCCCTTTGAATTTATGTGCTTTTTCTGTTTCTTATGATCTAACTGGCCTTCTTTTAACTGTAACATGAAGACTTAATGGAGAATTGATGCTTTTCCAGAAGGCTGATTCGACATTAACCCCTCAAAATTGTGAGATTCGGAGTTAAAAAAAATAAAATAAAACCATTATGTTCAAGCTGTTGCCTCGTCGGAACCAGAGAAACAATGGCTTCAAAGTGAAGCACACTCTTCAGATATGTGTCCTGGTTGGCATTTGCATTTGGCTGATTTACCAAGTCCAGCACTCCCGCGTTGAGAAAGACGCCTCTGCCCAATCCACAAGCCTCTCTGAGAAGGTAGAGAATGGGAGTGGTGTCTTTAAGTTGGGAAGGAAGGACCCACCGCCTCAAACTGATGATGAAAAAGCTGGGGATTTGACACACAATGAGCTCGATGAGGAGGGCAATGATCTTGAGGTTGTTGAAGATGAGAGTGATACAGGCAACGATGATGCAGAAGCTAAAGCAGATGATAACCCAGTGACTGAAAGCAAAGAGAACTTTGGAACTGAAAAAAATGAAACTTTGGAGGGCAGTGAACCCAAGAAAACTACCGAAGAAAAGAGCGAAAATGACGAAGAAGAGCAAAGTGGAAGTACAGAACAAGAAGTAGAGAAAGAAAGGGGTGAAAATGGCACCGGAGAAGATAAGAATGAGAAGGAAGGGGAAGATGTGACAGGGAAAGAGTCCACAGCAGAAAGTAGAAGTGAAGAAGAGAATATGGGAAGCAGAGAGGCTGGAAGTGAGGAAACAGACGAAAATGGAGGCGAAGATAATGATGTTCAAGTGGAGGAAAACAATGAGAGTCTCATCACGGAAGCAAAAGAGGAAGACAACTCTACCCAAACTGAAGAGAAAAACATGAAAGAAAACCCAGATTCAAATTCGACAACTCCATTAACGAACGAAGCACTTTCAGAATCTTCAGCTGGTGGGCTAAATAGTGACAGCACAGACTCTACTGGTTCGGAAGAAACGGATAAACTGTCAAATGGAGATGAAAACAACTCGGCTGATTCTTCGAACACCCGAAACGAAGAATCTGTCCAAAACAAGATTCAAGACGATGTGCAACATGCCCATGTTGAATCGTCCAGTTCAGTTCCTGAAGGAGAGAAGGATGCCGGTACAGAGATGGGAACTTTGCCAGGATCTGAAGGAAACAATGATGAACATGGTTCTTCCACTGGATAAAGAGATCTCCTTTAATTTATTCATTTAAGAGGTGAAACATTGTAAAGGTTTCTTGGCCGGGCGGTGCTAAGGCCACATTGTATGAGTATAGCTTTTTACAGTCCATAAACTCCCATATAGGGGAGACATCAACTATATATAATGTATGTATGATTGTATGAACCTGAATGATTTGGTAAGAAGTTCTTATGAAAGTTCCTTTTTAATACAGTAGATGGATTTAATTTGTTTGTTTGTGCATTTTTATTGAAACTTTGATAAAATAAAATATTCTTGTCAGATCTTGTTTCGTAGACCTTTTGATGCATTGTTGAATGATGAAATTTATACATCGTGTTTCGTAGACCTTTTGTAAAAATGATGAGATTTTGCACGTTTAGAATTTGATATCTATTATGGGATAGAGTGAATAATATGTAATGCGTGACTTTTAGATTTTCTACATGTGTCTTATGGAGTTATGGTTATCCTTGTTTCTTTGTAGGATTAAGCTATTTGTACCATTCGTAAAGGGTGACAAAAATCAATAAACAAGAATATATTTTTTGATTTTCCATCTTTTCTTTAACATGGTATCAGAGTGGTTCGGTCTGAATTTGAACTAGTAGTCTTTGAGTTGGCCGTCCACAAGGCAAGAAAAAATGTCAAACGCAACTGACAAAAATGCGGAACAGAGTTGCACTTGAGGGCAGGGGATGGGAGATTTCTCCAACATCGAAAATAAAACAAAAAGAAGTTCAACATATAAATTTTAAGATGGAACATCATGAACTTGTGTGATGGAGCTATTGCGCAAATGCGTTGAATCGGCTTGTGTCTCCCACGCTATCTTCGCTCACCGGACTTTTATCAGGACAAATATATTCCGATATTATTTTTAAAAAATTCATATTTTCTTTATTTGGTTGTTCCAAAAAACTTTACATTTTTAGTTTTTTGTATACCCTCTTGCACATTTAAAATGTACAACATTTGTTTTTGGCCCTTAAAAAAGGTTACACTTTCTAATTTTGGAATTTTTTTTTGTATTTGTATAACTTTTCTCCTCTCTATTATTTTCAACCATTCAACTTCATTTTATTCTTTAATACTTTTCCTGAATTCCGTAAAATCAAATATCTTAATTCCTTTTGTGACCATTGGAGTACATTTTAAAATTTTTGCTACTCTGCAACACAAAACACAAATGTTGGTAGTGGTATACATGACCTTCAAAATGTGAAGTTAGCTACGATCATATTGTGCTTATTATATTGATGCATGTTATGATACAAAATTCAATTAAAATTTCAGAGGTCAATTTAAGTATGTATTGCATGTGTAAATATGGAATGTGAGTATAATTTTTTTAAAAAATTGTGTACACATTTTTTTTAAATTGTGAATTTGTTTTGAATTTGTAAATATTTGTTTTATCACAAAACATATATAGTGTCTTAATTTCAAATATTAAAATTTGATGTTATGAAGTACAGTTAATATCAGAGCAAATTAACATTATGTATACAGTAAGTTTGATAATAGCACATAGTTATTGGTGTTCAAAACAAAATTATGGTGTCAGATGTATTTAGGCTGTGCGGTGTGAAGGTTCCTTCATATGTTACTTCTTCTCCTTTTGCTACTCACTTATTATTATCGTTTTTTTTGTTGCTGTTGAAAGGAATAATGGTCTTATAAACTCTACATTTTTTCAGGAAATTTTGAACCAATTTTAGAAGGTAGAATGAATTTAAATATTTTAAAAATAATTATACTCCCGCGTTTTCTAACTCAAAACTTTTTTTTTTAAATTAAACTCAAGAACTTAATTCTCCAACTCCAATTCCAAATTATCCGGAGTCACTTACCCTACCCTACTCTTTGACAGTTCTTTCTAATAAGAAGGACGATTGATAACAATCATCATCATCATCGGAGAATCCGAGCGAGTCCACGACATCTTTCGTGCACCATCCCCCACGCAACAACCTCCTCGATAACAACCGCAGGTGACACGTCACACCTTCCCAATCCGAAATAATCTCGCCGTCTGTTATCCTCTCGCGATCGCAGCCGTCCATCGCCATCATCTCCCTCACGTCCTCCTCACCCCACCCTCCCTCCGCCAGCCTCCGCGCCGCCTCCCCCATGCGCTCTTCCAACCCCACTTTTCCGGCACCGGATTCCGCCTTCGATTTCTCCACTTCCGCCGCCAACTCCGTCCAGAACTCAATCCTCCGCGCTCTCGTCGCCGCCCACGCAGGCGCCTTGTCGTTCAAGTCTCCCGTCGTCATCCGCTCGTCTCGTCTCCGGAACTCGATTCGCTGGAAAAATCCGGCGAGATCGAAGCTCCACACCTCCACCTCCGCCCCGTGCACGTAGAACACCGGATTCCCGGCGGATTGCGGCGAGGCAGGGATGTAAAATTGGCGGAAAATGGGGACGAGAACCGGAACGGATCTCAGAAACTCCTTGGCCGAAATCACCGCCTGTCGTTCATCCTCGGGGCGTGAACCCCAGCGGCGGAGCCAAAACCGGCCTCTGGAAACTTCCTTGCGCAGCCCCAAAATCGGGAGATTGATCTGGACCTCGAGCTGCTGGGGGGACGCGGATCGCCAGTTGGGGAAGCCGGGGGCGACGGGGAGGCCTTCGCGGAGGATGGAGCGGAGGTCGGGAGGGAAGGAGAATTCGAGATTGGATTCGAGGGCGGAGAATTCGAAGTCGGAGAGCCCTTCCTCCACCGGAATGTCGAGGGATTTGAGGGCGGCGATGATGTTCTTGGCGTATGCGGCGTAGGAGAAGCAAACTCTTGGATTGCTTATAATGGCCATATGGGAGGGAGCCTATCTGATGAAGCTAAAGTTGAAGCAGGCAGATACAAATGAGTAAACTCTATGATTGGAACATTTCTTTGATCGGGAAAGGCGGACAAGTTGTGGAGTGGAGAATATATATACGAAACGGTTAGGAGCGGATTGGGAATTTGAAAACAGGGAGGAATTAAGTAGTTGGATCTGATCATGTGAATCGAGTTGATAGAGGAGTTTGTTTTCACTTGTAGTTATTGCGAGGCCGATAAATGAAAAAATTGCATATCAATTTTGTTAATTTATTACGGAGTACATAAATATATTTTTAAAATTTTTTATTTGAAAAAACACATGAATTTTGCCATTACGGAAATACTAATAGCCAAAACATTAAAGTTTTGAAAAAAGTTTCTTAAATAATCTCAAGTTTACACGTTTTTTAGATTACAAACTTTGCATGTTGTTTTGGGAGAAATATAATAATGGATTATCAAAAAATAGTTTAAAATATCGTTCGAGAAAGATATTCACTACTACAAAAAAGGCAAAAAACCTGCCTCAACTGCATCGCTTATGTAAATAATCGATGCAAAGGCATCGATTGTTCTTTAAAAGTGATGCAATTGATTGTTATTAAATAAAATTTGAAAAATAAAAATAAATATTAGCATCGGTTATTTTGTAATAACCGATGCAATAGATCAATGGCATCGGTTATTTAAAACAACCGATGCTAATAACTTTTTTATTTTTCGATTTTTTTTTAAAAAAAAAAAACAAATGCATCGGTTGTTGACTAGAACCGATGCTAAAAGATAATATTAAAATTTCGAAATTTATAAAAATACAAAGGCATCGATTGTTTTTTACAACCGATGCTAATACTGTTTTTATTTTTTTAAGTTTTTAAATAATTTAACAAAGGCATCGGTGTTCTGTAACAACCGATGCCAATACTATTCTATATTTTTAAATATTAAATCGGAATAGGCAAAGACATCGGTTCTTTCTCTAATGATTTATAATTTAGATCTAAAATATTTCTCCCAAATCTCTTTCAATCTACTAGCACTATGTTTGGTTCAAGGAAAAGAAAAGAAAAGGAAAGAAACTCAAAATTCTAGTTATGTTTTGTTAAGATGAAAATTGATGAAGAAAATGTATTCTCAAACTCTTTTTGTTTGGTTAGTAGGAAATTTGGTGAGAAAACAATGTAAATCTAAATTTGAACCTAAAAGATTTTATTGACTAATATGTTTATGACTCCAGCGCCACTTCAATTGCTCCAATACACATCTTGTGTTTCTTCATCATCTTGCAATTTTATTAACATAAACAAAAATATATAACCAAACAAAAAGAACATGTAATTTAATTAATATGAGGCCTCACCCACCCATGTAAACTGGAATTGAAACAATTTTAATTTCAGTTTAATAGCAAACTAAATCAAAACTATACATTTTGCTTTTTTCAATGAAGTTTTGAGTACTAACTACAAACAACTTGAGGGGTCTTTGAAGATCTGATTTTCACACACATTTGATTAGGGTAGCACAGTTAAGCTAATAAACTGATATTAATAATGATTTCAAGAAAAAAACATGCCCATTCTGCAGCAAACTACAAACACAATGAATTTCAATGGCAATTTTCTGGATGGCCTTGGTTGAAAAACCTGGAGGAAGAAAAAGAGATATGGCACTGCCATTCCCTGTGGGCAGCATCCCCCATTTCTGCTTTAAGTGTCACTTATGCATCTCTCCCTCATGGACCTACACACTGCCCAGGACACACAGTCCCTCCAGTGGGAGCTTCTCAAGAATGCCCTCCAACATATTCTACTCCAGAACAGCAAAAATCAATTCAAAGCAACCCAGCACCGGTTGAAAAGTAACCATAAAACAAGGAATAAAATAAAACCCAAAGGAATGAAAGCTTAACAAGAAAATAATGAATCATAAAAGGAGACACACACAATGACACAAAACATATAAAAGGAATCATTATACTTGTTTTGAAACAAAGTCAGAATGTGGAGAGACAAACCCTTCTAACAAGAGGCAACATATTAAAGTATTAAACATCTCTATATGCATAAAACATAATAAACGAAAATAAGAAGTCATCCCTTACATAAAAAGCTAAATAGGCCTTACAACAACGTTTCATAGAGCATAAATACTCTTGTGAAAAGATTGAACTAAACAAACCTTTCATTTCTAGCACACAAACATGCATATATACATACTAAGCAATGGTCATCATGCTGTTATGCTGCAGTGTACAGTCTACATTTGATGACACATCCTAAAGTCTAGAAAGATTGACTGGGGTTAACATAGATACAAAAAAACATTCAAGTATATGAAAAAATGGTACAAATATAATGCCTGAACAGTAGGACTAAGCTGGGATGTTAATTGACATATACATACACAAAAGAAGAAGAAGAAAATGAGGCAGACAATAACTCAGGATGATAGAATACCAGTGTTGGAAGCAGTAATTCAAGATGATAGAATAGCAGTATTGGCATCAGTAACTCAAGCCACCTAGCCATATCAAGTTTAATAGTCCTAACCACTTAAATTGATTCACAAATCCCATTTAGTTTATAAGTTATTCTCAGAACTCCTTTGGGCCAATTGGTTTCAGAGACTCCTTTAGTCCTAACACAGTATTGGTTTTAGAGACTACTCACACCTATTGTTCATAAAACAAAACTTACTTTCTGTTTTAACATGATTCATCATAAAAAATATTCAAAAAATCTCATAAATTCAACCTTAAGCCAACAATCTCAATTATCTAGATTGCAATCCATGAGAATCTAAAACCACCTCTCCCTCCTGATGGTGATGGTCCCACTGGTTGATGTGGCAGAACAAGGATTTGTATAGCAATTTTGTGTACAGAAATAAACAAAACAATACTACTTTGAAGAAGACAGGGGAGCAGTGGGAACTTATGTATAGTGGGGGCATTAGGAGCTGTTTGGCTGGCTGGTTTTACAGTGTTGGGTTCTTTGGACACTATGGTTGTGCAATATGTACTTGTATTAATTTAATTTAATAACCGTAGATGATTGTAGTAGAGGAATTGTGATTTATACTAGGGCAAGAAACCAGCAAAATATGCCCATTGGGAAAAAGGTTTTTCAAATAATCTACTCATTGGTATATGGCAGCAAACATATTCATAATTTTTTACATCATAATATCATCATTCTTTTTCTAGAATGCTTCCAAAAATTATGTGAAAATTCACTGCTACCCATAGACTTCCAAAATTACACCAGAATCACATATGATATGACTTCAGAGTTCTCAAAACGATGGTCAGCTTCATAGATTCACACATAGATTGCAAATTATACAAATAAGGCAGAAATCAAACACACAATCAGTACTAAAAAAAGCTACGAACCAAAACTCAATGGACCAAACACAACCAAACTGAGTGTCTGAAAAAGCTTACATGTTCAATATCATGCACAAATTGAGTGTCTGAAAAAGATTCGAATTCATGATCGCTTAGCCCAGATGAATGAAGAACATAGGGTCTTCTTATCGTGCTTTTTGTGGGTCTTTGATTTTGAAGAAAAATTTGGTCAGATATTGTTTCCATAGGAAATTGATGGTTAGGCATCGATGTGTTTTGCCGAGAAGACATGGCAGCAAAAATGAAGAAATTCAGTGACAATTGAATGGAGAGAGGCGGCCGTTTATCGCAATTAGGGTTGCGATCTAGGGATATGATCAGTTGAGACTTGTGAGCAGTTGAGAGGCACGTTCAGGTTCAGAGATGGCTGAGCTAGAAGACATGGCAGTGTTTAGGATGAGAAGGCTTCAGAGACGGGAGTGATGGATTCTCTAGTTTTCCTTCCAAAATGATTTTGTCCTTTTTTTTAATTCATTTTCTCTCCACTTTTCTTTTCCTCTAACTTTTCTTTTCTTTTTCTCACCAACCAAACATAAAAAAAAAACATTTCCTTACTATTTTCTTTTCTTTTCTCATCCAAAATCCTTGAACCAAAACCAAACATAGTGCAGAAGAACCTGCGACCCTTCGGCGACCCTTCCATGAGACTGAACGAGGAAGCTAGGGTTTCCCGCTAGCTGCACTTCGAGGCTGTTATCGGCGCTGAAGCCGCTGGTGGTTTCCAAGAATGCCATCGCTGCGGGCGCTGAAGTTTTGTCGGCGTGGAAGTCCAATGCCACCCCGCCGCGCTGAAGTCCTGGTCCGGTAGGCCAACACAGTACCGCGACCTATCTACTAAGGTATTTTTCTTATTTTCCAGATATTCTTTGAATTTCTATTTGTGAATTTGTACAGGTTATTCCCAATTCTTTTAATTTCTCTGTGTGAATGCAAATCATGGTTACTTGTTTTGAATGAGATGAAATAAATTCGATCTTTTTAGTCACTTCTTAACTTTTATTTTGCAGTTTTATGCATTGGAAGGAATGATTATTCATATTTCTTGCTGCTTTAGATTGTTATAACTGTGTATCTTTAGAAGCCAAGTTATTGAACAGGTTTCATAAAGTTTATGACTTTCTAATAAAATTTATAAAAGTTCTTACATTTCATCTGGCTTTATTGTAGTTATTTTAATTGCTGGTCTAAAATTGTTAAAGCTACTCTTATTCATGTGCAGAAAAGAAGCAGCTTTGCGCCAAAGGTAAATTTTGAAACTTTGTTAACTAGATGGTTGACTCGGTGGAACCTTTTTTTGATCATATGTAATGGCATTTGGTTCAGCTTTGATCTTGCAATTCACTTGCAGTAAAGAAACTAAAATCTCTAGAGGAATTGAAACCAATAAGTTTTTTGTGTTGGTTATCATCTGATCTACTACCTCTAAATTATGATTGTTAACGCTAAGCTATTGTAGGCTGCACTAAAAGAAGCAAAATCAAAAGAGGGTGTAGATGTGGAGCTTGCAGCCCTAGCTACGTTCTGGTGTAATGGTAAAGTGTTCCAGCATGCATGTTAGTTTTGTTGTTAGCCTTTGGATTCTTCTGTCTAATATTCTGGCCTGTGCTGTTTTATATGGTGTAGAATGCAAAAAATGAGGCGGATGCGGTGGCTGATAGACTTAAAGGGACTCAAA